GCTCCTCCACATCGAAAGGAGTCAGTTGAGGTGGTTTGGGCATCTGATTAGGATGCCTCCTGGACGCCTCACTTTAGAGGTGTTCTTGGCACGTCCCACTGGGAGGACGCCCCGGGGAAGACCCAGGACTCACTGCAGGGATTATGTATCCTCTCTGGCCTGGGAACACCTCGGGGTCCCCCAGGACGAGCTGGAAAGTGTTGCTGGGGAGAGAGATGTCTGGGTTTCTCTCCTGCYACCCGACTACGGATAAGCGGAAGAAGATGGAGATGACAGCATCCATCTCCTGGATAGTTATGGGATATGAATGGCTAAAATAGAACAAAGTGCAGAAGTTAGATTACAAATACTGAATCAGAGTTCACACAGGAATCATTCCAAACACAAGAACATGCAGGGATTAACATAAAATTTATACAAGTCAAAGATTGGTCTTTTAGCAGGTTTTTTTTCCTTCTCAGTTGAAGCCTAAGCTGACATTTAGTGTGATAGTCTTTTATTTATAATATTTTTTGCAGGACGCAGACAGAAAGATGCACAGTAACCGTTTACAGCTATTTGTTCCCACACGGGTCTCTTAGTTCCCTTTGAGTTAATTTTGTTTGCTTTTTCCATCCCACCCTACGCTGCCATCCTCATTTTTATCACTTAAAGTTCATCAAAGCTCCTAAGTCTTCTCATCCGTCCTTTTGTCCTATATGAACTTACCAAGAGATGATGCTAAAGTTGGAGTTTCTGTACCTGGAGCATCCGTCTACCCAACCTATAGCTGCACTCAGGACAGTTCATCTCTAACCTGCTTGGGAAATGGGTCATTGCCTTTGCTGCTGACTGGCTCTGGATAGGCCTGCTTACCTTGCAGCTTACGGCGGCAAATCTTTAATATGTCTGGATTTGGGARGTGAGAGAGGGGCTTTAATACCATAATCTCTGGGATGGTAGTTTCCTTTTTATTCAGCGTTCATGTCTCATGGTGCTGCAGCTACGCTTGAAACTCCAAACGCTGCTTGWAAAATCGAGGCATTTAAAGCCTCATGTTAAGTTGTGTGTGTTTGTGTAATGCACGTGTGTACTTTGTGTTAACACAAATTGATGYAGTGACTCTTTTAGTTTTGTCACTTCCTTTACTGCGTCTGTGGTTTTAATTTTTTTTTTTTTGTCACAGGGCTGATATGTTTCAGGCTTTATTTAAAACTTAAATTCTGAGCGACGACCGACACGTTTTTCACATTCGGTTTAGTTGTTTTGGTTCCCCACAACCTCTTCAGCTCTGCCAAAGTTTTTGTCTTCCAGGAACATGAAGCTGATGACAAAGAGGACCTGTGCGTCAGGTTGTGACACAGTTTCAGCAAAAAAGCATTCGGCGTCTGTAGAAACACACGTTGTGTAGGTTCCTATATCCGGAGTGCGCCATTTTGCTCACTTCCTTTTTTCTTGTGCACTTTTTCCGTTTTCAGCAGGGTAAGTTTACGATATCTGTTTGAGCTCTGGCATTCGTGAAACCTAAAAATGAGCTTGGTTACAAATTTCTAAATCAAGATTAAGACTGTTCTGTTCTGCTTGTCTTGACTTTCTCGTGTGTGTGTCTGTCTGGCTCGTTTCTGCCTCTGCACATCGACAGCGGAAGGATGCTTTGGATGATTTACCTTGTTTTTAACGGAAACATGCCAAGTGTCTACAGAAAATAAGAATAAATGCATAAAACCAACTACAGCTGCAAACGACCTGCTTTTAAAAAAGGTCTTTTTGCCATATTGTTTCACGTCATCACTGAATTGCAYTATTTTATTTTCAATCTGTCGTGCTTTGAAAAAAAAAACGTTCATTGCTTCATTTTATTCAGTGAGCTGATAAAAATGTTGGCGTTTGATTGGAGAGGGAGGTCCAGTTTTCCCTCCGCTGGCCCCTCTGATGACTCTGCAGAGCAGCACGCACCCATCAGAAGTGCACACGGATTAGCATTTATTACTTTTTTTTGCTGGGCTGGATGTAAAACAACCAAAGGAGGCTGTCGATTCTTTCAACCCCGAGCTAAAAAAAAAAAAGGACACACAGTCACTCCTGAGGTTTAGTTAGTTTTCAGGTTGTCTGTTATTAATGACACAGTTGTTCCTTTTTCCTGTACTCTTTGCTTGCCTGTGTTTTTTTTTTTTAGTAGAGGGAAGGAGAAATGTGCTTCAGGGTTTCACACTAATGTGCAAAAACATGTCTGAAAGCAGATGGAATTCGCTCTGCGTTTAAAAAGTTGAGTGAAACAGTGACTCATGTTGCTGCTGCACAGATTCACGCCCTCTCTGTGTGCATAATGGATGTTCCACCTCTGTTCACCCGCCTTCTGTTCTGCCTCAGTTTTCTGTATGTTTTTATTTTTCCAAAGTATCTGTGAATGAGCGCGAGCATGATTTGCTCCAGCTTGCAGCCTGTAATCAGATTGGCGATCTGCCCGGTCTGCTGCCACTTCTCACACTGACACCTGCTCTGTTCAGGTTCCTCTTTTTTTTAACCAACATAACCTGTATCACAAAAGGGATGTGTATCTTATCAGATGGGCTATTTTTTTCTCCCCTAATCAGCCAAAGCTCACTTTTTTAAGCCCGATGGGAGATTTGTTACATAATGTTAATATATATTCTGCTTTAAGTTAGATATTTCCTCTGTAGATATCGATGAGTACAGATTTGTCTTTTATCTACTATTGCAGAGCGTAGAATTTAAGATTGCTGTCTAAAAATAGGTGAGCCTGACTGTCTGAAACGCTGCYGAGTTGCTCCAGTTTCTATTTCTGTCTGTGCTTGTGTGTTTGTTTTGCTCCAAGACAGGTATTAMAAAATAGTTGTGAATCGACATGTCGGGACCTGCCTCTTTTACAATTAGTTTTTAGTTCTGTGAGGCATTTTAGATGAGATAAAGACTGTATAAACTTCTCTTTCTCCATCCTTTAAGGTTGCTTGCTTTGGTTTAGTGCAGTAGAGGTATGTTATTATTATTTTTTTTTTTTGCTGATCTCATCAGGCGGGGTTGCAAACTTTCTGTTATGTGGGTAGAGATGTCACATTGACATTTTTGATATGATTTTTTTTCCTGGCAAATGATGCAATATTTTCATCCCGGATCCTCCATTATTGCCCACCGCCGAAGGCTAAGGTGATGACGTTTTTGCTTTGTGTAGGCAGGTATTACCTACGATTTGGGAACCATTTCTTGGAAATGCATCTYCTTGTGGAGACAAATTATAAAACTGTATGGAAGTCGATGCAAAATCCCCATGAAAATGAGTACACAACGTGTGTGTGTGTGTGTGTGTGTGTGTGTGTGTGTGTGTGGTGTTGGCAAACTGTTTAAAGGAGACCAATTATTGGGGTGCTAGAACAAATTAGGATCCACTTCTCCACATTAACGTCGCATGTTTAATCTAACCYTGCACGTCACTGAAGTGGTGTTTACTACATTCAGCAATGGCGAAAACGGGATGTTTTTTAAACGTCAGTCAATATAATAAGCGGAATTGGCACCCGCCGCTGCAACAAACTGCTCAGCATGTTAACGTACATAGTGGTGCTGCAAGCAAAAGTGTCCCCCGAGGAACAGTTCACTGGCCGGCCGTGGGCGGAGTCMCTGCTTGGGTTACGAGTTGGGCTCCGGTTGGTGTGGCCTGAGTCCGGCTTGTGACATCACAGGCCARGGGAAGTRGAAAACTMGACYTTAATYTACATGAAAAATACATTTACTTAGAGTAAATATACACCTGGGTGCATTTTTTTGGTCCTAGGACTGTTTTTTTAAGAAGTACATACCCAACGTTGAGTAAAAAAAAACCTTTAAAAAAACTAATTTTGCATAATAGGTCCCCTTTAAAGAAATAGTGGAAAGYTTTTCTTAAAATATTTCCAAAGTAATCACTAAATGTACATCTACAACCCAGCTAACCTTTAGCCTACACAAAAATGGCAGCACGTGAAATCTTAAGAGATCACATAAATGCAAGGTTTGACTAAAACAGGTACAATTTATTTTTCAMCATAAGATAATCTTAAACACATGAAAGGTGATGTCCATTTCTTCAATTAATGCTCGACTTTTWATCGTGCTCTGCTCAAYGGCTCAGTTTGGATATTTGTTGTGYTGTTCACTGTTCAATATTCTCGTGCTTCTCTTTTTCTTTTCTTCTATTTAAATCAAATCTCCCCTCTGTCCTGGACCCTTCAGCCTCTGGCYTATAAAGCGGTGGAGCCGTTGGACCTGGAGGAGTTCCTGATGTCACAGCTAAGCAGTGGCGACTCGGCGCTGATGAACGAACTTGGAGACTTTCCCGACGACAACCTGAAAGTGGAGCAGGTGGAGCGGGAGCAACGCACCGTTCGGCTCTCGGTCCCGGAGGACGGGTGTGTTTCAGACTGAAAGTGTTTATARGACTCCACAACTTCTTTACGTTGTTTTGACAGAAACAAACATTGTTTAGAATGTTACCAGCTGCCTTGTTCAAGTGTTTTTTTTAACTCTTAATAGAGGAAAATCTACACTGATTTGGAAAAAAAATCTTCAGTAAAACATTGAAATCTGAAAGCCTTCATTCATTCTGAAGCTATTTAATCTCAGCTTGTTATCTTCTGAATGTTCATCAGTTTGACCCTGAATTTCAGATTAGGATGAAGGTAGAATTTAAAGTGTCTGTGACATTCATATCCTACATGTTCAAAAAGTTCAAAAAAACATTTTGATATTGTCTGTGATAATGTCTGTGTTGTTAGTCGTTTTAGCAAAGCTCTGTTCACTTTCAGACGTTCCTCTTTGACATCACTTCCTGTCGCTTCACATGCAAATATCTCAACAACCGTTGTCGTTGGCAGCTTGAAATGTTTTTTTTACAAGTCATTATTAATATCATTTTTCTAAAAATGCATTCATATGTATTACAACATTTTGATGTCACAGGCGCTTTAAGAGTTTTATTTGACTGCAGCTGTCCGCTTATATATATATATATATAAAACCTTTTCTTTATTTATTTTTTTCAGAGTGGATTTAGATTCCCATGTAAGAGACTGTGTGAAGAGCTACACACAGCCATGGCTCATAGTCACCAGAAGGTAAAGGTTTTGTCTCTCTTTTCTCTGTAACTGCACTCATCCAGCTGCCTGGATTTACTGAGACTTGTGTCGTGTTGTCAGATGCTGATTAATAGCGTAGAAATGTTTTTTTTGTAGCCTTACATGTAAATTCTTGAGTTTGCATGATGATCATTGGTGCATGTGTGTATTTTTGTGTGTGTGTGTGTGTGTTAAGGTGCCAGGGGGATGGCTGGATCACTTACTCGGAGCGAACTGGCCTAAACAAAGACCTGCAGAAACAAATTTTTGAATCGGATGTTCAACCACAAAACAAAGACAAACCAGTAAGCAGCACAAGCACACGGCCCTGTACTGAATTTTAATGTATTTATGAGTTGCATAATAAAATTAACCAGTATTTTTATATATTYAAACTGAAGAAATCTGTATAATAGATAAATCAGGTTGTTTGAAGTGAAGTTCTGAAGAAGGGTTGTAAAAAGTTATTATCTTACCTGTTAGAGGAAGCTTTTTGAACAAACTCAGTTTGGAGAAATAAAGCTCCAGTTTTTATTTTTATTGACAAGCTTAATGGCTCGTCTGAGTAGGGCCAAAGTTAGATGCAAAATTGATTCCAGTTTTAACATTTTTATTGCAGTTTTTGCTAACGCTTTTTTTATTTCATAAACTTAACAAAAAATTCAAAATGCTACAAAATGCACAGTAAATAATAAAATTAGTAAAATAAAACAACAAACAAAAGAAACAAGCAGAGTTGGGATCTTAAGCCCTGTCATAAACATCTTAAATCAATGATGCTTTCAAATGAAGCCAATTTAAAAGCAAAGATCTATAAAGTGCCTGTGACATGCATATTCCTCAAATATATAAAGTCAAAGAAAATAACTTTATATTTAAGAAAGTTGGAATAATACACATGATTTAACCCATTTTGTCCCATAACTGGCATATTTTCTTTTGAACTTGGCTCAGCCCAAGTGAAACAGGAAGTGACATCAAAGGGGAACTCTTAACATAGAAAACTCTCTGGTCTTTGTTTATTGAAACAATATTATTTGAACTCTGACTCTTCTTCATCTCTCTTATAATGACTCAAAATTATTTAAAGAAACATCAGATTCCTCTCTACAGTCTCTGTTAGCTGTTGTAGCAACGCTCTGTTCACATGCAGACATTCCCCTTTGACATCACTTCCTGTAACTTCACAGGCAAATTTCTCAACAACTGTTCATCTCAGCGACATCAAATTTCTTTTGCAATATTTTATCAATGTCCTCTTTCTAAAAATGCATTCATATTTATTACAAAAATTTGACGTCACAGGCACTTTAAGCCTTTTTTAAAGTCAATTCATGGATAAATTTATTGTTCCATGTTTATTAAATCAAAAATACTCTAGTTTTCTTGTCAGATTAGTCTCCCTTTAACATATAATGCCTTATTTAGTTTATTTTTTGCCAAAGAAAGAGATATAGTTATATAAAATGCAACGCTTTGTGTTAAATTTTGAGTAAACTAATTTGAAAATTAAAAAAGCAGAATTCAGTCAATAGTATACATCATGTCAACACCATGTGACAGTTTACAACCAATCACAGATTGCCAAATGTACTGTCCAGCCAATCACAACACTCCCACCAGTCCATTGTGGAGTCGTCCAGGAGCTGTCAGAAAGATAAGTGATGGACAGTGTCAAGGAGGAACAGATATAAATAATTAGACCATGACAGGTAGCAAACATTCAAATCAGTAAATTTAAACAAGTTCTTGAAAGTGAAATAAAGTCTCCCCTCTCTCAACTTTTTATGCAGATCACACCGTGTCCTCCCGTCTCAGTGCGTGAATATCAGCGCACATCCCAAAATATTAAGTGCGCCTTTTAGAAGAACAACAAACCCCACTTTGTGCTCGGATGCCAACAAGCTGTGCTTAGTTAAAGTCTCCTTTTGTGAGGAGAAGACACTTCAGTCGGAGCAGTATGGCAGACCATACTGATGTGAGGGGGCGGGGGCTTTAATACTGAACACAACAGTGTGTTGTTATTCCCAGCACTCTCTCCTCAGCGCCAGCGGCTCTTTTTCAAGTTTACTCAGACCGGCGTGCACCGAGCTAAACGTGAACTTTTGACAGACTTCAMCCTCTCGATGTTGATGTTTAACCAGACTGATTATTGCTTGTTGCGCTATAGAAAATGTGGAGCATTATGCATGAAACAAACAGATAAGTAACGTTTATGTGAAGGTCTGAGCTACAGGCCACCGCTTCATTCGTGCCCTTTCTGTAGTTTTCCTGACCCAGTCAGGACCCACCCTCTGGCTCGCCGCCCCGGCTGCCCCTCTCCTGTTGCTCCGTGCTTGCTAGTTCTGGTTAATCACCTAAACCCTAAAGGCCTCTGACTACGGCTGCAGGGTTCCCATCATCTGTCTGCCAGAAAGAGGGAGAACAAGCACGAGAGAAGGGGGTGCCAGAGGAACAGGAAGAACGGTGTTATTGTTTTCCGGCCCATAATAGCTGAGGGCCATTCTGCTTTGACAAAAGCCCCGGGTTTGTGGGGAGATGGTCTCTTGGAACCTGAACGGGGCGACGCTTCACTGTGGGTGGATGCTCGGTCAGTCCTGCCCTGTAGTGCGAAAGCCTGGATGTGATTTTGATGGATGATGGGAGCGAAAGAGACAAGAAGAGAGGGAATYTTCTAACTGCAGCACCAGAACAGAGCAGTTATGTTCTGTAGTTTTAATCCYATAACTGTAGCATTCCACTGTGTCACTGATTAAACAACTCATCACTTAAAACGACAGCTATATAATAATGTTTGGTATATGATTCCACATGATTACGTTTATTTTTGCTTAAAGCTGGTTGAAAAAAAAAACAAAAAAAATCTTCTTTTTACTGGAAATCTCAAAGAAGAAGCAGCAGAACGCTTGTGAAAACATGAGTGTTGCGCCACCAGCTTTTGGTGTTGCAGACAGAAGAGAAGCTGTAATGTTTCCAGATTATTGGGGCTTTGTTTGACTCTTATGATAAATAATTAACAAACCCCTCCCTCACCGGGGGGACGACGACTTTCAAACGTAACGCTCGCAGGTCTCGCAGCACATCTGCATATCATACAGGGGGGGATTCATTAGATGTGCGAGAGTTATCGCAGCCTTTTTATTTTTGTCCAACAGGATCCGCAGCATCGAGCGGGTTTGTTCTCCGGGGTGATTGCAGCTCTGGGTCAACGCYTCGGTTCTGGCTGTTTGTCAAGCCGAAAGCCTGTTTGATGATGTTTGGCTGCGGAATTCAATCAGCTAATACATAAAACATGGACACTAACAGAAGAAAAAAAAACTAACACATTTAATATTGTTTTATGTGTTCCAAAGCTCAATAGGTAACTCATAGTTTACATGTAAAAATCTAAATAAAAAAAGCTCATTTAATTTATTTTAAGGTTGTGTCAGAAACTACAAAAAGCATTAGTGAAACATTTCAAAGTTGCTTATCTTGTGTTTTCTACATGAAGAAATCCACYTTCAGAAATCCTCAGGGACTGTTATCGTCTCAAGGCCAAAACGAGACGATCCAGAATAAATGCCTGTAGGCTGTTTGTTATGTCTGCTGTCAACAGAATCAAGGTGTCTGCAGTTTTAAATTAGTGGATAAAATGCTTTTTTAATTAGCGGGCTAATATTTTGTTGTTTTAGGTTAAAGGGATCACCTATTAGTTGTAACATTAGACTTTATTTGATAAACATGTGTTTTAACTGTAAAATAAAGACTGTAAAAATTCTGTAGGCTGTTTAGTTTTTATAATTTTTAAACTAAAAGTTTAAACTAAAAGTTTAAAC